GATTGAGTCCCTATACCTTGAGTTGACTTCGCCTTTCCTTTCTTCCAACCCTTTGCCATTTGGTCCCACCGCTCCAATGGTAAAATTCGGCCTTTAGTGGGGGACGTAACTGGATCGTAGTTCACATTGTCCTCCACCTGCATCAATGCAACATGACTTTGAGATGAAGAACTCCGAATCAAACCCCCTTCAGGAACAGGGAATTGGTCGCCACCAGGATTAAAATCCACCACTACACCTTTACCTTGGTTATCCACCCCTCCCTATGACCATCTCCACCCGGGAGCCGATTCGGATCACCCACACTAGACAAAGCGACCACTGTAGGTTGCAAGTTAAACGACTGAATAAAGGAAGGTCGACCCAAAAGTCTCCTATAAATCCCACAAGATTAACTAGGCCAGTCCGGAAATTGACGAGCCAGAGAAGAAGAAGGAGGATAACCCATATCCTCCGTTCCATCAGATTCATTATCATCCACATAAAGCCATTTTTTATTCAAGTTAGCACCCCTACCATCACCCACTTCTTTCTCCGGCTGCCATAAATCTCTACGAATAAACCCTTCGACCCCCAGCCAACCACCATACTCCTTAAATTCCAACGACGAAGAACATCGTTCCATAGTGTAAACTTTCCAGTGATGGCCAATAATGCCACAAAGAAAATAGAAAGATTGCAGTTTTTCATACCTCATTTGAGCATTAGAGGCCATGCCAGTTGGATAGTTAAAACTACATAACGGTGAAGGGGCTGTAACACATCGAATTCCACTTTAATACGTAAGACCTGACTATCCGCAGGCACCTTATCTGTACCATCAACAATACTCTTATCTCAGAGTTCAACTTTTAAACATCGACTAAACGAATTAGCAATCCACTGGCCCACCTTTTTAGATAAAAGATTCGCTTTGACATCAGAGATTTGGATCTAGAAAGGGGACATCTAGAAAGGAGCTTCGGAGGTCAACAAGCCCTCTTCCCACACTTTAATAACTACAAGGTGACCATCAAACAACCATGGACAGCTTTGAACTACATTCTGTCGAACACCGGTATCTAGAATGAGTAATTGAAATAAGTTCCTCGCCACCTTAAACACTTGAAGCCGCTAGGACATGTCATGCTTATATTTATCCTTTAGCCAAAGCTTGGAAAATAACTTGCCAAAAGTGAATTTCGCCTATGCAAGAGTAATAGATTTAGAAGTCCAAACTTTAGCAAAAAGACTATCATTACAAACCTGGACTCCTTGAGCGGTATCCTCTCCCAATAGGTGAATCGGCTTTTCTTAGCCGGCGTTAATGTCAAGCCTCCAAACTGTTCAAGAACACCTTGTTCCATCTTACCCTCAGACAAGAAAACGAAACAAAAAAAAGGGGAAAAATAGTTACACCCCACTGAAAGCACAGAAAGCAAATGACAGTTAATGTATAACACACCCCATGAGAAAACTGGGTAAACACCAAATATATAGCCCATAAAAGGGGCATAAGCCAGAAACATATCATTATAATTATAAAATCACCGCCATTAAAGTACCACTGACATAAGGTGAAAAGGCAGTCGTGCACAGCTCGAATAGAGATATCCTCAGAAAAAGTAAATCCAGAATTGTAACACAGACGGCAATACAACCCAGGCACAGACCAAATCAACACATTACCAAATAAAGGAGAAAAAAATGTACCTAATAAAATTAGAAGGATATAGGTCAGCCGTAATAATGAATCAGACACATGTGCTGGCCCCACCACTATTCCAAGGTCTAGAATCATCCATGACGTCACCAATGACATCATGTCGCATCGAGACGACACCCACTCCTCCAATTGGAGAAGCTAACAGAGAAAAGAGACACCATCGTCGGTAAAACAACCACCATCAATCCTTAGCCACCACAGATCCATCGACTAACAACACCAAAGAGCACACAAAGAGGCCCAACTCAGTTTCTACAACCAGTAAATCAGTGAACAGCGGACCAAGAGAAACAACCACTCTAAGGACCAACTCCCTACACCCGGACACCCACCTGCCAAATCGAACCAGACCTCCAACCTCCCTAAACTAGTAGCACCATCACCAACCAAACCACTATAAAATAGATCAAGCAATCCCCCCTAATCGTAGAAGATAGAAACGGGAAAGGACCAATACACCACCAGACAACCCAAAAGATAACCAGATGATGAAGGATTAAGCGGGATTTAGAAAACTTACAAAATGATGGCATGGCAAAGCAATAGAATACAAGACAAAGGCAGAACAAGAAGAACAATGAGCATAACGATTACCCAACCAACCCACTAAGAACCATATCGCAAATTGCACACAGAACCCGGAGTTGAAGGGTGATAAAAAAAACCCCTAACAACAAGATCCAACCAGCCAACCCCCATATTCCAAACAACACGGATGACCTCGCAATGGAAAACCAGAGAAACTCTAACCCACTCTCGATGGGAACGAGATTGGAAGAGCCAAAAAGCTCAAACTCTCAATGAAACGAGAACCACTTTGAAAACAGGGATCCTTGACCTCGCAAGGTATAAACCCAAAATAGCAAATAATAATAAATTACTCCCTATTATTAGATATGAAAATGCATATGTCTAGAGTAAGAGTCTGTAGTTGATCAGAGCATGAAAATTTTGTAAAGCCCAAGCGTAACGTCTGAGTTAAATCTAGAGAATCTAGAAATTGATTTATTCTAGTTTAATATGTTATTCTAAATTTGCTTGGTGTATGTGTGTGTATATATATATGCTTTATTTATTGTCCCCACAGTTTGTACACACATATCAAGAAATTAAAAGTAAAAGATGGTAGGAACAATGTATAGTTAATTTAAAACAATTACAACTATAATAAGTCAGTCTTTTATATATACATATATATATATGGAAAAACTTGCCTTAGGTCGCATAAGCAAGGCTCTTCTTCTGATGTTGATACGGACCAATAATAACATGGCATGTCGTAAAAAAAAATTATAAAATTAAACCTGAATCATTCGGATCTTTTCATGGGTCATCCAAAGAGGAAGATGATTTTCTCTCACGCGTGTGTGAGACCTTGTAGCATGCTCTTCCTCTCTTTTAACTCATGATTCCTTCTCTCTTCCCACCAAGTCCCCATTAATACCCACCATCTCCCCAATTCTGAAACCCTAATATTAATCATCTCTTTCACCAACCGACCTCCACTGCTTGCTGGTCTCCACTACTTGCCACCTCCTCCATTCCCAAACCCTAATTTTTTACATCCAATCTTTAGAGATGATTCAAGCCACCACATCTCTGTTGCAACTCCATCTCCAGAATGACTCGAGGTCGACCAATTAATAAATACGCATAACTCTAGTGGCATTCAAAATTTTGAGATTTATCATTACCTATTACAATCTGTAGCCAAATTGATTTCCTTAAACTCCACTGATAATTGGAGTCTTACAATTATGGTTAATTTACCATGTTTGGGCTAATTATTTGCTTATTCTGTAACAAATTGTAATATGAAGGGTTTGGAATAGAAAATCTCAAACGCATGAGGGAAAAAAAAAATTTCCTTTTAGATGATCCGTAAAAAGATCCAAATAATTTTTATTAATTATTTTAAATTTTTTTTGACACATATCATATTTTTATTGATCCATGTCAGCATCAGAAAGACATTTCTACTTATGTGGCCTGAGGCAAGTATTGTTCTATATATATATGCTTTATTTATTGTCCCTACTATCAACACGTTGCGTCAAAATATTCAAACAAGCACAGGTCTAGCACTTTGGGAGGAATGATGTGCACTCACAAAGCCTAGGCCAAACAAAATCTAATGTTTCATTTGGTAGGAAGGAAGAAAATTGGGTGGAAGGGAGAGAAGAAGAGATGAATGAGATATTCTTAGAGAAAAGATTATATCATTCTCTCTTTTTGTTTGGTTGAATGAAAAAGAAATGAATGAGATAATACTTTATTTTATTTGTTAGGAGAGAAGAGGAGAGTGTCAATTATAAGGAAAGTTTTGTAGTCTAAATTTTTTTATTATAGTCTCGCCTCTTTCTCTTTGCATCTTTCATTCATTTTCGAAGGGATGAAAATCTGTAAAGGAGAAATGATAATTTATCTAATACATAAACATAATGTGCATTCGGCATTTTACAAACCATCTAAGAGTTCAAATTTACTACTCATTAGTAAAATATTTTTTTCTAAATTATTCATTAATAATATTAACTGGTGCTTTAATATAAATTTTTTGTTCTTTTATTTATGATAGAAAATAAAATCATCATTTTTTTATAAAACATTATTGAAGTAGTTCTTCATTGTGATACAATTTTCAACAAAACATTTATTTTTTATTTATTATATTTTTCATGAGTTGAAAGTAGATAGCGTCTTTAACATTAATTTACCGAGCACAATAATATATTGTTGGAAACAGAGCATACAAAATATAAATTTTGTGTGAGATTTTGACTAGGTCCGCTAAGAATTTCTTGCGGATCTATAGACGAACATGTTCCTCTCTGCAAGGAGATTAACATAGTATATTTACTTTCTCAAATCTGTTTCCGGGTGAATGAGAAATTAGCTCTAATGTAAGGTGTTTGATAAGCTTAAATGGGTATACAAAATGCGGGAAGTGGTTGTCCCACATTGAAAATAAAGTGAAACCAATTGGAGTTTATGTTTGTTCTATTGGTTTTGCTCTTTTAATGTCAAAAGAACAAGTGGTTTGATGTGCTATCTACTAAGGACTGTTTGGTAACCACTAGGGCACAAAGGGCATTTATGTCATTTTACACAAGTATATGGTCAGCCTATATTTTTCTGAGATAGTGCATTGTGTATTAGAGCTGATAAGTATAATTTTAAGGACTTAAATATGGTTGCAAAACAATATGTAACATGTGGAGTCTTCAAGGGCAACATTGACAATTCAACACTGTGAACAGCTTTCTGCCACGTGGCCTTGTGGTCCTGCAGTGAGAGAGGAGTACGTATATTCATTGGCTAGTGATGAATAGGATCTTATCCACACTAGGGTTTTGGAATGAACACTATAAAGGTGCTGCTATGAGCATTGTGCAGGTCTGCCTCTTTTGAAAAAGCCAAAGGGCTGAAAATGAGCTGAAAAATGAAGAACTCTTGAGAGATCATATGAAGACATTTTTGTGAGAGTTTAATCTGTCAAGAGAGCCTATTTAATCTTGAAAAGTTTAGTAGCAAATGTATACAATTTGAAGATGAAGAATGATGCTGATGGATGCTGAATTCATGATGTAAATTGAAGTATAAGAAGGCTCAAACCTGCTGTGACTATTCTAAAAGCTGAAGACATGCTTGAGCAAATTTATTTTCCTACTTTACAACTGCTCTAAGTGACCTCAAGCTCAAAACATCACTGCTGTAAGTATTTGTATCTCAAACCTACTGCTCTCAGTTTTAAGCTGTTATATTTTCTGGTTTATGAACTATGGATGTGATTATACTTCTGAGAATTAAAATTACAATGTCTGAGCATACTTAATTAGTTGATTGGAGGTTATCTAAGTTGAGATTGGGACTAAGGAATGACCTATACTAATTCTGGTATGGTGAACCACACAAGGCTAAATTTAGACTTGTTTATAAGACTGGTTTAGGAGTCAACATTGCATTATATTGCTGTGGTTGGTGTATTACATTCTTGAGCATGTTTATACAGTTGATTTACATTTGGGAGAACCAAAATCCAGAGGTTGGTAGTGTTGAAATACCAGATTTGCCCTCATAACATTGCTGCTGCAGAAACTGTTTTGTGAAGCTTTATTTGGACTGAAATTTGATATTTATTGTGCTATAACTTGTGAAGCAATGATGAGAGCAAGAGTAGTATATTGAAATACAATTGAGGGAACTAAATTCAAAAAGGTTTAGCCACGAATTTACTGTTTTACCCTCTTGAACCTGAAAGCATCAGTTGCAGTAAATACACCTGCTGTAAGCACTAATTTTGCTGTATCATAAGCTGCTGTGTTGTGTCCTTGTGTACTTACCTTGTCCCAACTTCAGACCAAGTCTAATTCATCAATGTCAAGCTGTGGAAGCTCTTGGTTGCTGAGAATTTGAATTATATTAAGGCTATGTTTGGTATATGCTGAAGGTTGTGGTTTTATCATTAAAAAGGCTGCTGTGAGCTTATTCAATTCTATACCTTGCTTGCTAATTTGTCCCAATCATCTGAGCAAGTCTATTTGGCCTATTGAAGACTGGGGGAGTGAAGTTTGAGTTGTTTGTCAAGCTAGTTTACAGTTTTACCCTCTGAAGCTACAAAGCTAAGGTTTGTTGAGGTTAAGGCTGTTTAAGTGATTGCATTGAGCTACCTTGCTTGTTTATCTGTCTTCATCAATTAAGCAAGTGCACTTTAGTGATATACAGCTGTGGGAGCCATTCATAGGCCTAAACAGAAGCTACATTGTGAAGAGACCATTCTACCCTTGAGATTGTGGTTTAAGTCTTTTGTGAAGTGTCATTGTTACATCTTGCTCTAATCATTGTGAATCTTGTTAAGTAGGGTTTTATGAAGATATCAAGGTTGTGGGTGACAAGTACATGTTAGTTCTGAAGCTACAAAGTGAAGTTACTTCTTTACCCTTGGTTTTAGGGTTTATCTCATTGTGCACTTAATGTGATCTACCTTGCTGAGTTTATTGAGGAAGACCTTTGTGCAAGTGTTATTTGGCTATACAGAGCTGTGGAAGTCCATTACAGGCCATTCTTGGAGCTGCATTGTGAAGTTACTTCATTACCCTTGATTTTAGGGTTTTTGCCTTCTGGGAGCTATTTTGTTCTACCTTGCTTATCTACTTGTGTATTCCATACAAGAAAGTATATTTGACTTATTCAAGGCTATGGGAACCTAGTTTCATCATCAAGTGAAGCTGCATTATGAGTTGACAGATCTACCCCTCTATTACAGAAAAGTAAAGCTAGGGTTTCTTGCATTGCTTAGGTTGTGTATTCATTCTTATCTTGTGTTGCTGCTTAAGTATTCTGTATTTGGTGTGTTAACACCTTCTTTCATTGTTGATTAGCTTTTGAGAGCTTTTGTGTCCAAGCATAGGGGCTGTGGACTGGGGGAGTGCCTGTGTGCACATTGTTTGATCTTATGTGTGTGTAGAGGCTGTGAAAGTTAGTGTCCTAGTGAGTACAAGGTGGTTGGAAAGTGGGGCAACTGAGTGAGTAACTACTTGCATGCTGCAAGTGAAGATGGTGAACTAGTGAGTGTGGATTGGTTGTGAAAGCTAGTATCAATTCTTGTACAAGAGTGTGTACAGTAAGTGAGATAGCTGAGTGTGTAACAAGGTTAATACTACTAGTGAAGGCATTTATTGGCTGAGGCCAAGAACCAAGGTTTTTCCCTATTGAAAGGGTTTCCTTGTATATCCTGTGTTATGTTTCTAATCTGTGTTTGATTGGTTTTGTTGACTCAAAATAAAAAGTTTAAGTAAGACCAATTCACCCCCCCTCTTGGTCCAACAGTTTATATAGCCCAAGTTTGGAATTTGGGTTTGGGCCCAAGGGTACCCAAGTTTTTAAAAAGGGGAGGACCTAGGCAAGCTTGGGTCCAAGCCATTTTCCACACACGTGCGCACCCGGTCCGGCCCGGGCTTGGGCTTGGGCTTATAAAATTCGATTAATTTTTTATTAAATGGAATTTTTTAATTGGGCCTTGTGTTTGGTTTAATTTTATTTTGGACTGGGCTTTCTTTGGTAGGTTTCATTGTTTTGAATTGGGCTAGGCTTACGAATGGTTGAACCTGGTGTGAACCAGTGTATCCCATTTGAATAGGTGCCTTTTTGTTAGTTCAGGTTGAACCATTGTTGTTGGTCCTTATATTGTAGGTTGCGGTGACCACAAGCTTGGAGAAGCATGCAATTTAGGCGAGGGCCAAGTTTTACATTTGTAAAAGCCACTACTACCTTTCACTATAAATATAGCTAGGGCGAGTAGGGATCGTCCCAAGGGATTGGAGTCGGAGTTGATTGTGGAATCGCTTTTAAGGTTAGTAGGTTGAGTGATCAAACAATTGGTTTGTAGGTTGATTAAAGAGTAACAAAATTAAACTAAGTAATTGAATGCAATGGAGATTAAGTAAGAGAGAGAGAAGAGTCTTGGGGTTTAAAGATCACCACCAAGCAATGCATTTCTATATTATTGACAAGTGATTAATGAGGGCAATTAGGGTGTTACAATATTAGTGTGTGTGTATTTGGTTGATTCAACAAGCAAGGATGACTAATTAAGTATACATTGTCTAACCAACATGTGAAAAACACAATATATCTAGCAATTAAGTATATATTATCTAAATAGCATGTGAAAAGCACAACATATTTAGCAAATCATTGGTCCTTTTCATTAGGCTCACAATCCAAATACAATACAAGATTAGAGACATATACTACTTGTATTCAAAAGTATGGAGCATCAAACAACTAGCATGGATTGTCTTCCCATCTAATATTATACTATCACTAAACTACAATTAAGCCATTGAAATTAAACTAATTTAGCTAAGAAGGAGACACAATCCATCAAGATATGAGCATGAACCATCTAGAGAATCACAAGAACATTCCTTTAAGCACTATGTTTTGACAACCTCTAAATTTATGGCATCAATACACATAGACATGCATCAACAACACAAAATCTAGAAATAAGCACATGAACATCTATTCAAACATACATAGACATATGGATAGAATGAAATGATCAATTGGAAGCATTAAACCACATAAATCATTGATTAAACAAGATCTATATATATCAAAGTGTCAAAACATTAATTACAACACTAATCCCTTAATAATACACAAGATTAAGATATAGAAAGCATGCTTGGGGCTAACTCTAGCCCCAAGAGGATGTCTAGCCACTCATGGTGAGGATGCTCCAACCCTCAAGGGCTAACTCCATGGAAGAGGTTTGCTCCTTGTTGATGAAGATCTCTAATGGTGTCTCTAGCCTTTTTCTTCCTCTAAACTTCCTCTCCAAGAGATGATATCAAAAATAATGTTGGCTACTTTTTGAAAAAGCAATATTCCATAATGATTGGATAAAGGACAACTTTTAATGGGATGGAATTTTAACTTTTTTTGCATTGGAGGAAGTTCGATCGATCGAAAGGAAGTGAGATCGATCGAAAGTAAGTGAGATCAATCGAACTTAGGCTGGATTGATCCAACTGGCTGAGCTTTTTGGAAAAAGACAAATCCGAGATATTTATGGGAGATATTTATGGGAAAAGGACAAGAGTGGTTGGTGGGTGGTACAGCTGTGGATAGGATCAATCATTTGGATAAGGACAAAGGTGTTCGATCGATCGAAGAATGATGTTGGATCGATCGAACTTTTGGACTTAAGTGCTTTGGGTCAAGGCTTGGATTTATCTTGAAGTGCTGAGATCGATCGACATTCGATCGATCGAACCTTGGACTTGGATCGATCGAACTTTGCTGCTTTCCACCTTTGACTTCATTTGCTTCTTTCTTTCTCCACTTTGCTCCTTCCTTCGTTCAATCTCAGAATTGCTTCAATTAAGCTCTTATTTGGCTGAGTTAGCTTATTTTCGGGATAAGCGCCTGAAAATAGAAATAATACGAAATCAATCTAAAACGGTAAAGTAAGATAGATAAAGGTATTAGAATGCCTAAGCTTAAGGGGTTTAAATACGCACTTTTCAGTACTCATTACACCCCCAAACTTAAATATTGCTAGTCCCTAGCAATGAACTAGAAAGTAAAGGAATGAAATGAACAACTATACAACTATAACTAGAAAGCAATAAATGGATAACGCCACTTTCGTAGGGAACACGATTCCACTTAGCACATGCAACAAGCCTTTTAAACCCCTAGGTTACCCCTAGTGGACGAGTGAAGTCTCGTGAGGGTTTCCAGAAATGGTACCCATAAGCATTAAGCTCATTCTTTTCAAAAGAGGTACCAATATTGCAAACAAGCATTGGGAGAAAACTACCTCAAGTATGTACTTTTTCAAACCTTTCCAAGCAATCTCTCAAAATTTCAACATCAAGCAAGCAAATATGGTCCTCCACACATCAAGGAAATGATCATGCAAATCAAAACAATTCTAGAATTCTTTTAAGTGGACCGGCATCAATGTGTTGCTAACTTAACGAACTAAAGAATAAATCACATTCTTACCCTCAAACTAGCATACAAATCTAGCACCGATCATCAAGATAAAAAGTGGACCTTTTATTAAAGCTTTATTTATCTAGGTGCGCTTATTCTTTTCACTCAGATATATATATATATATATATATATTTATAGGATCAAAGATGGAAGTATAGTGCAATGTGTTGATCTATTAAGCTTTCTAGCGATTTATGAGGTCAAGCGTTAGGTCAATGACTCCCAAACCAGACGACTTTAGGGCATTAGGCGTTAAGACACCCCTACGAACTTACAAGCTCAAATCAACTAGGTTACAAATCAAGACAACTACCATCTAATCATTTCCCACTTCTCACCATTTGGGAGAAGTCCTCACTTTTATTGCTTTTGCTTTTGCTCTTTTTATTTATTTATTTATTTTTTATTAAAGTTCAATTATTAACCTAAAGTTTGGGCCCTCTACCTTTCGGCGCGAGAAGTTCAGTGCTTGATGAGGTTAGAATCCCGGCTACTTAGTGAAAAGGGGTTGTTATCTACCTTTATCAAGAATGAAAATTTTCAATGCACTACTAGCTCAATTGGGATATAACCATTTCAATAATTAACAAAGCATGTACCCCACAAATGAATGCTAGTGTGCGTCTGTACTAGTGTAGAAGACTAGAGTGAATCTCAAAACAATTACACAATCAAGATGATGTGGACCACAAGTGTAAGCAAGATATCAATCTTTCGAAAAATTTACTCCTAAATGGCTTCCAAAGGGCATACAAGGAGTATTGAACTCTCAAGTCAAGCAATTTTTTAATTTTAAGCAATTTAGTCCTCAAAAGATCAAAATCATGGCTAGATATGGACCAATCATAGAAATATCCCTCAAATACACAAGTCATGCTCAAAAGATATGCAATTTAAAACTAACACTGCAAAGCACCATTCCTCCCAAACTTAAATTGCACAATGTCCTCAATGTGCAAAGAGAACAAAAGAAAGAGTATACCAGTGCAACTAAGTAAGAATGATCGGGACTGAAGTATCCGAAGTGGGTGGCATTGCCCCCCCAAACTTGGGATTAACTGTAGTCCTGAAAATTGGCACTTGGATAAACTCATCAGATAACAAAATGGGATAATCAGTGCACAGTGGACATTCAGGTGTAAATGGGATAAACTGATAAAGAAATGAGAGAGGTATAAGGGTGGTCTTGGAAATTGGGTAGCACTCCCTCACTGAAGTCACTGTGATGCACTTGATGGAGTTGAAAGGATAGATATATCAATAAAAGCATGCAACATCCATCATAAAAACAACCATAAAGTGCGATGCATCCAGTGTCAAAAGCCGACAGACCCAGTTGCAAAAATAATAGTATCACAAGTGTAGCAGACACATAACAAAGATAGAGAGCATAAAAAGATAAAGAGACTGGAAGTCTCAGGCAGAGGGAGCTCCACGGATCTCCCTGGCTAAGTCATCAATGGCAATCAAGATCTCCGTACGAAGGCGAGAAATGTCAGCTCTAATAGCAGCCATCATATTTAGACGAAGGGTAGCAAGGTCGGCTCTAAGGGCAACCAGCATATCCTCCAAACTCCGAAGGTGCTCTTTTAAGCGACATGTTTGATCATGATCCTCTGGTGTGGCTGAAGTGGAAGAGCTGTCATTCTTAGTCATGATCTGCAAAAGGAAATCTTGTAATGGGAGTGAGTGCTAGAATAAAGAAT